CTTAACTTCAAAAAGGAGAGCTGAATACCTTCTAGACACAGAGCCTGTTACCCAAATTGCTTAACCTGTATCTAGGCGATCCCATCCGAGCTCTGACGGTTCACTAAATGTTGCTTGCTGATGGGGGTCTTCTGCACACAGGAATGGGTCGTTTGTCAAGCGGTTCATTTGATCTAAGCATGTGTGGCTGGTTTTATATACATGTTGGCGGCCCAGACACTGATCAAACAGACTTGTTTGACCCATTTAGATACCCAAATCGAAAAGGCGTGTGATGCTTTACAGCCACTGCTGAATTATAATGACAAAAACTCAAACGGTCTTTACAAGTGTTTATATTTAGACCCACACACCATGCACGCTTTCATAATTTAGTCTGCTGCTCACCGATAATGAACGCTTTATATAAATGAAAGTCATTGTGTTACTTTTTAAACCGAGTGCTTGCCGTTGATACAGAACTAGCAACAAACAAATGATACACATTTCAACTAGTCTAGTCTCTTACAAGCTGTAGCCCTATCAACTTTCTGAATGCAAGCAGAGGAATGAAGTGAATTTAATAATAACAGGGCGCTCAGCCGCTCTCCATGGTGCTGCAGTCGCGCTCAACCGCTTCAGATCCGCCTCTCAAATGTGTGTGGAAATGAGACGATTTTGTTCAGTCAAACAGTTGAACAAGTTTGGGGTTAAAACAAAGAGATCGTTTTTAGATTATTATTTTTTTTTAATAATAGTGGCGTGAGAAACTGACTTGTGCTGTTTGTAATATGTGAGATGAATTAGTTGCAGTGCTCTAGGATTTGATCAATCGAACACAACTAGTTTAACTGTGAGTTCTCACAGTAATACAGTGTTATTATTATAGTGTGCTGGATTTACTGGGTAAGTGTTTAGAGGGCCTGTAACTCCTCTAATATCTCTTCAAAAGTGAATCACTTTTACCGCTCTTTAATTGCAGCACACCTACAAAAAAAACTAATTGCCAAGCCTATATCAACCATAGAAGTGACAACCCGCCCTTCAAATTCTACATTTATTGCGAGGACAACATTAGCAAACCTTTGATAACGTTCTGTGATTGCACAGAAACTGGACAGAAGTCAGTGCTTCCCTCTATAGGACACTTTTGGAAACACAGTGACAGAAGAATTTGCTAACTTAGACTGCTGAGATGTTGGAGTGCATTAACCTTCCTGACATCGTGTTAGTGTGACTAATTCAAATAGGATTTATTTTGCCCAGACATTTAGGCCTAGGCTACTGTAAAGTTTACAAATAGCTTTATTGAATAAAGACAGAACAGTTTGCTGTGTGTTAGTGGAATTTAGTTGCACTGCTTTTAAAGCCTGTGCTTGTATCTCAAACATTTTATTTGAGCAGAGCATTTTCTTTGCCTCATATGTAACCTATTATAATGGTATTTGTAGTAATATTCCAGAAGAATACCCTAGTCTAAAATATGAAGCATTTTACAGCTTAACACTCAGTCGATTCTGTGTCATTTTATCTAATAACCTAATAGCATTAATAAATGTATCACTTAAAAAAACAGTCAAGCTGGAAGCAATATGGTGTGATGTTAGTGCAGAGGTCAGCAACTCTACAAGGTCCACAAAGATGGCCAGTAGGAACTGTCTGTACGAACAAAGACCCCTCAGGCTCCGCTGGGTCAATACTTGAGGACTTCCTGACGATACCAATTAGATGGGCACGAGGAGCAGCCCTTTGAGGCCCTTGGCCGGAGAAGAATGAGACTGAATCGCAGTGATTTTAATTGGAGCGGTTTTCACTGTAGTGCACGGCTTTAAGTGATTTCTGAGAAAGCACTCGTGGGGTAATTTAATTATCAGTAGATTTCAAAAATATTACAGTCATTTTGGAAATAATATTTATTTATTTATTCATTCATTCATTCTTTTTTTAGCACTTGTACACTTTCTGTTCTCATTCGAAATTACACGTGAGGTGTAATCTCAACATGACCCGACAGCCCGATCTTATGGCCTTATGTTTTTTTTTTTTATTATTATTATTTTTATTTATTTTTTGGCAGCAGGGTTAATGAGCGCTTATATGCCCTCGACATGGCGGCAGACGTGTCATTGTTGAAGGCAGGTCATCAGAAGTCGCTCTATCGGGACGCTGAACCTTAACCCCTGGGTCTCTGTTTACTTGTTATATGCCACTGAACTAAAAGGGGCGTCGTGTGCCTGAATAGGTAGTTAGAGCTACGACCAAAGAGCATGAAAAACTTTGCACACAGGTTCAGCGAATTTTGTTGGACAGAATGAGTTTTGTAATTCCAGGGGCTTCAAATATTTTTGTAACCCATTTTTTTGAATCGCAAGGTCTTCTGGCCCTCAGATTTATTTTTAGATTTAATCATTTTTATTAGTTCATTTTTCTGTATTCTTGAGTTGGCTGTAAACAGTGATCAGTTAGATCAGTGATGCACAAATAAAAAGTGCAATTGTGCTTTTTTTTTTTTTTAGTGTAAAACAGTGTAAAAGGTTGTTAATGGAAGTTTTGATTTCAGAATTTTTAATGATATCAGACTTCATACAACTGTTTTTGGATCCAAATGCATACCTTTATTTTTAGAAGAATACATCTGAATAATGTTACCAATAATTTTGAGAGCAAACCACTTATTTGTATTATCTGTGATAAGTATTGTAAAGCTGGTGCTATCGTTATTTTCATTGGCCAGAGGGAAGAAAGCACTCCTCGGTTTCTGATTAATATGGTGAATATGATATTTGACGTCGAGGAAAGCTTTGATCTCGCCTCCCATGTATTTATGTATATATGAATGGGTATGTGAAAAATAAGCTATCAGGATGGCAAGACAAAGGTTCATTCAAACAGTTCCATTTATCTCGAGTCCGGCATTCCTGTTAAGTAATATTAGAGTTTGGCATTCATAACAAACTATACAACGCGTTACACTTTCTAAGACATATTTTTTCATCGGGGATTGCCTTGTTTCTCAGATCACAGGCTCTCGTCGTTTAGAAAAAGGAAGAAGAATATCTCAAGCGGCACGGCTTCCCAGGTTCCCCCAGAGATATGCCATTGTGACCGCCAGGAAGCTCTCGAAGCTGCGAAGTATAGAATAACACGTCTTTTTTTCTCCTATAGATTTCAAAAGCACAGATCTCTGTTCTTGCAAGTAGCCGCTCTTCATGCGAAACACAGGCTGTTACGGTAAGTACGTTTTAAAATTAAAAAAAAAAGTATTTTATGTGAGTATATTTTACAAAGTGGTTGTGTTTTGCTTTTCTCCCATCGATTTTTTTTTTCTTCTTCTTCTTCTAGATGATGTCACTTGAGGCAGTTAAGGAGAAAGGGGGGATGGTCCCAAGAGGGAGTCCCTTTTTGCTGGACCGCTGAGAGACTTCAATACCTGTGCGATCACTATCACAGTTGCGGTGAATATATCTGCAGACATTGCCATTAATTTAGCTGTCAAAGTTTTAATTAAGCTCCACATAATATGTATTATGTAGGCTATTCTAGAAACAGAGAATGCATGTAAGGTGGGAACGAAATAAAAGATCATTGATCATTCACTCTAGTCTTTTGTCCAAAATGCCACTGTATCATGTATGCTTAGCAATAAAACAAAAAATGTGTATTTTCATATAATTTATTGGTGACATTCCTCCAGATGTTTAGCTTTCAGTGTCAAACAATGCCGTTTTAATGCATTACTCAGCTTACAGTGTTCAATACATTTGACATTTATCAAAACTATGCTTCAGAGCTGATGTCATTACATGTATTTAGACTCAAATGTGTATTAAGAAATAGGAAACTGAAGAGTCTACTCTTACGGGATTGTTCAATTGTTCAACGATAACAGTGTTATTCTAACAATGCAACTATTCATCTCTTCTGAAGAAAATCTTTGATATTTGGAAGTGTAGAAACTATGTCATCAATAACTTAAAAACATATAAACAAAATAAATATGTATTACATTAGTAATATACAAAGTACTCCTGATTGCAGTTTAAGAACAGTAGCCTATCACATGTAAGTTAAAAAGCATCTGTTTTATGTGTATGGATCTTTGTTTTCTACTTTATACTTCAAAAAGGAAAAAGTGCTTGTCTGTACACCACCTATAAAAGCCGTAGTCCAATACATAACACATCATTGGCATTGTCAAGCACTTGTACAACATCCTAATTCATGATTACAAACATTTACTCTATGTTATCTTGCTCACATAAAACATAAATGACTGTACAGCTATGTACAATAATTACACGTCTTTCCCTGGTGAAAAAAACGTACAGTTCCATACTTAAAGTGCTCTATTTTTGCACACTATTTTTCTACTTAATATACTAAAAATTAGTATAAAAATATACTTAGGATAATCTTAAGAACATCTAGTGTACTCAATTTTGAGACGTCATGAATATGAACTAAAATGTGCTAAAAATGTATTTAGGTACCACTTGAAGCCATCTTTTTATACAAAGGTGGGTTCAAGTGGTAACTAAATACATTTTTTAATACAGAGACAGTATGTTAAAAGCACATTTTAGTTCATATTCATGGTGTCTCAAAATAGCACAGTTGAGTACACTTAGAAGATTATCTTAAGAAGTACTAAAGAATCATTTTTAGTATATTAAGTACAAAATTAGTGCGCGAAAATAGAGCACTTTAAGTACATTATGGAAGTGTACTTTTTTTTCACCTGGGTTAGCAGAAAAGACTTCAAAAAGTGTGAACATGAAAAAACAACGCAAAAGACAAAACTTTCAGTAGTGTTAAATTTGGTCACATGAACCTATCTGGACTGTCTTTGTGTTTCGGATGCAAAAACAAAGCAAAAGGATGTTTCATAATTCCCCAAAAGGTTTTTTTTTGGGGGGGGTTTTCCCCAACATCATCCTTTCTCGAGAAAATTGTTCCATGTGACTCCTTTGGTCTGTTGGACTCTCAGTGGCTTTGGATCTTTTCTCCATCTGTGTCAAGAGAGTGTTAAATGTCAGCCCTTCTGCTGTGGCCCTTGGAGCCCCTGTGTCGTCGTCTTCTGCGTTCTGCCCGACCCACAGGGGCTCTGTGAGAGCCGGCCTGGTGCCGCTGGCTCTCTCTGAGCTTGCGCACCATCTCATGGTCCTTGTTGCCCAGAACACGGGGCAGGAAGAGGGAAGCTTTGTCTGTGCTCCGTGTCTTAAAGCCCCTCCTGGGCCGGCCCTTCCCATTGATGGACACGTACCACTGCCTCGTAGAACTGGCACGCCGCTTGCCGCCCCCTGCCCCGGACCCTGTTGATGGAGGCTGGGTGGTAGCATGGTGCCTTGATGCATAGGTGTTGTAGCCTAGCTCGTGAATGCGCTCCAGAAACTCACACTCTCGGTTGAAGACTTCCTGGAAGGGTTGAAAAAAATCGTATTACTTTATTTTGACATTCATAACTGGACCTGGAACAAGATGCGCCCTCAAAAACTTTAGATATTTCTTCAACAAGTCATCTCCATTTTGTAGAAAAGTCAACATTTAAACTGATCCAAAAGCTGCACAATTGAATTCTCAGCATCTCAAACGCAAAAGTAAGAACCTCGTATGTGGTTATCACTCTCTGCTGACCAGAAATTTCAGTGACAAGGTCCCCAGTGAGGGAAACAAAACTCAATAATCAAACTCTCAGTAATCTAGCAGCATGTAGGCATACTCGTTCCGCATGAAAAACACCACCATGTGGCCATAGCCTCAAATAGCCCTTCTTGTTATCTGATCCCACAGCTAGCGAATTTCAGCTATTTGATTTTCCGACGTGACGTAACACTTACTGAAGCATACAGACGTCCTTTCTCATTCATAGCCAGGTATCTTCCAGAAAACAGGCCTTTTATCGCCACAACACCGACATCCACAGCTGTGATCTCGAGTATACCTAGAAAAAGAGCGGAGCAGTTATTGCGCATGCTAGAAATGGGGAAAGTCATTTACAATAGCTTTTCAAATAGCATAAAAATGTGTAGGATTCGATACAAGGTCAGTCGAGGTCGTTCATCAGTTTTCACAAACCTGTCATGATTTCGCTAATGTTTGAAGGTGTAATTTTATTCAGTTAACGATTAGTTGTATTATTAATTAATGATTATAGAAGTGTTATTATACTATACATTAAATAGTTACGTTTATTTACTGTAATATTAATTAATATAAAAGTATTTTATATAAATAAAAATAATTGATTGATGTCTTTAACTTAATTAGGCTAAACCACTTGCTTTAAACTTACAATCTCACCCACGTTTAATATTAAATAATTTAGAGTGTGTGTTGTTCAGTCGGATTAATTGTAAATATTGTGGTATATGCCGTTTTAAATGTTGTTTTATTTCTACATAAGTTTTTCGTTGATTAAGTCACAGTCTACACAACATACGCTGTCGGGTTAGATATACAGACACTAAACGCCTCTTAAAGAGGATGTTTATTCATCCCTTTTTTCCACTGATTAATGGCTCTCCTAATTCTTCTGTTTCGAATAATCATCCTTTTACGTTGGATAAACACATCCGTTGTCTAAGTCATTATGTTAAACTGTCTGTTGAATCCTGTTTTCGTATGGTAATTTTCCATGGGCACTCGGATTTGACAAATTGGAAAACTAAGACAGATAAACGAATGCTGTAATTTAAAGAACGACGATTTAAGATTGCAATGTAGGCTACGCAATTTGACAGGGAATTGTCTTTACGATGTAAGTTATACAATCAAAGTAATTTGAAATGTATCTCACAAAATAATGCAATACAGTTGCTTTATTTTCAAGACGAAATTTTTAGCTTACAAGTTGTGCAGTCCGCAAAAGTGCTCTCATCATTACTTTAATCTTCATTTAACTGTGGTAAGAACGCTGATTTAAATGTTTTATATTCGTCAACTTAACATAAGCCGGGCAGGGTGAGTTATTGTTCGATGTTAATTATTTAATGCGCAAAGGCGCCTCCCGAATACTGTCAGCGCACAATGTTTTCCAATGTAGGATTTGCGCAATTACGCAAGCTTCATACCGCACAGAAATTGACATTCACAAATATGAAAAGCGAGAAGGGTTTACTCACTGAAAGGATTGTTTTCATCAAGAGATCCGTCTATTTTCCCGTTCGGGTGAATTTGCAAATGATATTTTGTGGCGCAGTAAAGTTTCCTGCGTCTTGGAGCTCCCCCGAGGTGCTCGTAAACCCCGCCGCGTCCACCAGCATCTCGCCGCTGCCTTGGGTCACACACCTGGCCCCTGGCACAAGGTGCCCTTGGGGTCCTGGTCAGCCTCGGAGCCAGAGATTCCTGTAAACTCGAATCCAAGGAGCTCAGTAACAACAAGAGCAGAATTATAACCATTGTGGCATGGCGGGATGTCGGCAAAATCTCGCTGGAATAGAAAGAGCTGGCACACGGGGTCCCATCAAAGAAGTATCATTAGTCAGTGATCCAGTCAACTGAATATTAAAATCAAAACGTGCTGTATCCTTCTGTCCCCTCTTTAAAATGTCGCGGTCATCTGTTAGAGCCGGCTTGATGGCAACAGCATGGGTTCGCCTCGTTGGTGCTCATGGGTTCCACTCTGCTCTCCAAGCAGACTGTATCTGACCGAGGAGGAGAAAACAGCCAGTCGGTTTCACAGGGAGCCTATCGTGAGATTTCGCTGATCGACAGTGTGCACAGAAATAAAAGAGCCCTCCTGCAACAATAGCCCGAACCCCGACCAATTGATACAAAGGAAAAGGGGAGGCAAGGTATCAGTCTTGTGTGAACCAAGAGGTTGCAGCGTGGATAAAATTACACAGCACTACACACGGTGGCTTACAGCGGAAAACCGCATCACAAAGAGAGAGACATCCAAGGGCAGAGTTTGCTTCTTTTGAAAGATCCGAAAATTATATTGAAGCATGAACACTGGCCTGCATGGGACAGCCGCTATTGATTCTCTTTTCATGCCTGTTGGCACATTTCAACAGTGATGATGTTAACATTCATAGACATACGCACGTGGCTTTCAATTATCCACATTTATGTATGGAATGTTTCTGACTCATAATATAAAAGAGTGACTGACAACACAAAATAGTCTGGACAATCGGCTAGAAAAAAAAAATCAGTAAAAGTCACTTGCAACAGGAAAAGTTCATGATGAGACATGGGTTATGCATTTATATATAGCCAGTTAAAAAAAGCGTCTTTACGCGGTTCGTTTGCTTATTAGGAGCACTGTAATTAACAGCGATTTATTCTTTTAAATATGAACCAAATCATGATTCAGGCGCGTCCAACCCCCCAATGCGATATTACATTGATGCGGAATGCCTTCAGTAGACCCCCCATTATCATTCCGAAGTAGCTACATTTCAATCATTCATTCCAAATATTTTATAGGCTATGAAGCACAGGTTGTGAGAGTAGGCTAGTTAAGATGGTGCTCGGAATAACCCGATCAAGACCTGTTTTCCCATTCATTGCATTCCGTAGAAAACATGCAGCTACATTTCCCTGTCATTTGAGAAGAAGAAATCCAAAAATGCCGTTTCCCGAAGTTTCTATCTTGATTTTGGAGAGAGAGAAAAAAAATAGGCTACATATTCCATTCCCTCTCAAACATATTTCACGACCATTTCCTTTTGTCTTAATCTAGCACGCCATACTAAAACTGCGGTAGCTGACATGCATCTTCTCTCAGGAACCAGACTGCAAGTGCGACTCAAAGCCCTACAGCCACTTACACTCAAGCTCCTGGTGTGTGCTGCTAGTGGGTGGAAGAGTAACAGGCAAATGACTTCTGCCTAAATTGTTTCCATCTTGGTCGCATTATGGTTACCATTCTCGTAATTAGCACCATCATCTACAAATCTCCCTGCCCTTTGGCGTAACACCAGCGCATGCTATAGAAAACCTCGTGGGAAGGCACCCTTCATTTATCTTCTCTTTGCATACATCACTTGGCGTCCCTGACTGTTTGTCACACTGTTTTAAAACAGGTAGCTGCTCCTAATAACTTATTAGTCGCTGCAGAGTGTGTGTCAGACTAGACGGAGAGTATATGAGTCTACTGATGTACATCACGAGCCGCTCTGGTGACCATCTCTGAGAGAGACGCTCTTGATGTGGTTTGATCCTGACAGAGGGTTGCTTTTCTGATGTGGTCGGCTGTTTCTTTCTGGAAGTATTTCCCTCTCAAACTCATTTCACGCCCATTTCTTTTTGTCTTTATCAATCTGGCAGGCCATGGAAACTAAAACTGCGGTAGCTGACATGCATCTTCTCTCAGGAACCAGACTGCAAGTGCGACTCAAAGCCCTACAGCCACTTACACTCAAGCTCCTGGTGTGTGCTGCTAGTGGGTGGAAGAGTAACACGCAAATGACTTCTGCCTAAATTGCTTCCATCTTGGTCGCATTATGGTTACCATTCTCGTAATTAGCACCATCATCTACAAATCTCCCTGCCCTTTGGCGTAACACCAGCGCATGCTATAGAAAACCTCGTGGGAAGGCACCCTTCATTTATCTTCTCTTTGCATACATCACTTGGCGTCCCTGACTGTTTGTCACACTGTTTTAAAACAGGTAGCTGCTCCTAATAACTTATTAGTCGCTGCAGAGTGTGTGTCAGACTAGACGGAGAGTATATGAGTAGAGAGAGAGTGTTCACTCAGGATGTTCACTCAGGATGTTGCCGATTATTTAGAAGCTGAACGGTTAAATCGTACCATGTTAAAGTCGTTTTCTTTATCACGCCCTCATTTATCACTTTAACTTCTTCGTGACCCTTTGCTTTTTAAATTAAACAAAGGGAAATTGGGGACTGTTGGGAAATTGGATGAGATGTAGGCTAGCGCTAAGAGTTTAACCAATTAGAAACGAGCAATCGATTGGATTTTGTGTGTAAATAAATAGATGTTAGTCGATAGAACTGGTATAAACAGAATAAGTAGTTTTTTCTTGTTCAATTTGATATATAATAACATATAATAGCCAATACACAATCATCTAAATGTTCAAAAATCTAATATCTGGCTAAGCAGAAATAGGCTACCAAAAAGACTGAGACAACCTAAGACATTGTATAGGTAAGAAATGGGTAAAACAAAACAAAAAAAATCTTAAAGTGCCCCAATTATGCCATTTCCTATATTGCCTTTCATGCAGTGTGTAATGTAGCTGTATGTGAATGTAAACCATCTGCAAAGTTGTAAAGCTGAAAGTGCACGATAAATAAAGTTATTGTGTCCCAAAATAAAGAATTGACCCTGAACAGCTGAAAAGAGTCGTTAGTAATTCGAATCCCACTTCCATGAAGGCTACACCTCACGGGGTAACACATTTGCATAATGCTCGGCTATATGTTCTACGTCGGCTGGCCGCGAACAACTTGACCCCGCCCACAAACACGTCATTCTACTGACAACTGCTTCTCTAATCTTGGGGAGTTCAACGGGATTCACATATGGAAAGCCGTATCAGTATCCTGTTTATTTGGACCAGCTGCTCCACTGAATCACAACCTGTAAGTATGATAAATAATAGATGTTTATATTTTCTATAGAGCGCTCAAAATACAGAACTATTGAAATAGGCGTAGCCTATGGTTTCCTACACGCAGCTGTATGCCATAGAACAATCACAACAGACTAGGCCATCTGACCAATCAGAGCAGAGCAGGCTCACGGAAAGGCGGGGTTTAGAGAGACTGAATCTTTGAACTGCTTCAAACGAATCGTTTGAGAATCGCTGGAAAATGAGTTGATATTAAATGCATATTTTGAGAAAACGAACGCGTTTTTTGATCTTGCATGCATGTAATCCTATTGTAGGAGACTCCCAAAACAACATTAGGAACCGTACAAATGGCATAATAGGGGCACTTTAAATTTCATATTCATGTATGTTTTTTGTCTTTCTGTATGTGTTGAGTTTAAAATATTCCCTGTATCTACTATTTTGAATTCAGTCGTTTGAAATGAAATGAGGGTGTGTCATAATAATGGTTTTGAAAAAGTACATTCTATTACCACTGTGAATTCATGCATAACATTTAAAATGACTGTGTTTTCTATTAGTGTTACAGCCCACCCTGGAAGTGCAGCCGGCACTCTTTGTACTCCACATTAATTTATGGCATAAGTTAAATTTATGGCATGAATTTGTAGCATACAGACAAGGGGATATTACATAAACGTTTGAGACCTACATAGCACACAGCTACACAAGTCACTGCTAAATGAAATGCATTAGACACCAGTCTCCTGTATTGTCGCTTGTATTGTCATATAATGCCATAGAATAATACTTTTAGGTTCCAAACACTGTTCTGAACTTTTAATTTTTTTCTTAAAACGATGTACTGGTGCTTTAAAGAACATATGACATCAATAACTATTAGTTTAATCTATATAAAAAGATCTGCATTGCCAACTAAAAAAACACTATACAGTTTGAAATGTTTTTGAACAGAAGAGTTTTTGGCACTGCATAGAATCAGTGAATAACTGATGTATTTTTAGGCGTGTGCAAGATTTGTCCCCCTAGACATTTAGCAAAGCTTAATAGTCACTAGTCTTTTTTTTTTCTGGCTCCTTTGCAGAAAAGGAGGTACGACAATTCCAACAAAATCAAGCTGACCTCTGGACCTTTTCTGCTGTACTTTTTCTCATGGCATGCCTTTTTTGCGTTAGTGATCTGAGGGCCTGGCTAGAGCCAGACGGGAATGACTCTCGTCCCCTGACAAATCACTGTTGAGCCCCTTTTGTCCGGGTTTACTTTGATCTCACCTGCTTGTCAGGGGCTCAGAAAGAACTCCCGTACAGTCCCAACGCACTGCAAACAAATTGGCAACCACTTTTTTTCTCATACCTCATTACCTCAGGTTGGTTTGGGGAAAAAAAAATAAAAATGTTAACCCCTTTAAATACCCTATTGATACAAAGCATTTTCATGAGCATGTTAACTATTTCTGCTCACTGATGTGAATTTGTCTTATTCTTTTTGCCAGAGAGCCCTTAACAGAACCCCACATCATCGGCTTTTCAGCAGAACATTGGAAGGGGAGATTTACGGGACGATTTTATAAATGCTGGCCGTACCGCCTCATTGCACCTTTTCCATTTCATAGCCTGCGAGATGTCAGAAGTGTTGGATTGATTTCTGTGGTCAAGACACGCCCAATTTATCTGTCAGGGTTGAACATGCCAAAGGACACTTTTATTTGCTTTGAACTGATTTTAATGCAACACCCTTAATACTGATTCTAGTTGCCAAGAGACAGATCATCTAGCTCATGACACACACTTTTCATAAATCTCAGTGTGATTTGCCAGCAGCACTTCTCTCGCTCTCCCTCCGTTTTAA